TTTTTTTTTTTTTTTTTTATATCTAGGTTACTTACCAAGCAACAAAATAAATGCAATATTAAAACTTCCTTTCTGATTATGTATTCATTAAGCACATTTTAAAAAGCAGCCAGTGTCTCTTGAAGACTGACTTCATCAGGCTCTCAACATCAGGACCATCCCATTTACCTCTGTTTCCCTGGGTTTAGCGAGCCTTCATCTACTTCTTTATCATATTTTGTCCTGATGTTGTCAATGCAGCCATTGTCACCAAATGCTCCCCATTCTGTATTAATGCACATTTTTCCTTCATTCCCTTCCACGATTTCTATGTTTTTCATGTCCTCCATGTAGCAAACATTGCTGCCTGTTCCTAGAAGGAAAGAAATGACAAGACTTTGGCTGGAAAAGTGAGGCAACACTTGAAAGTCACGGAAGATGATTGCAGTGCTCATCTTAAAGTTCTCTGCCATATTTCAAATTTTGAGGTCCCTTTCAACACAGGCCATTCTATGCTTAGATATATTTCTGGACCAAAACTTGGAGGAACCTATTGGGGGAATCATCTAAAAAGCCCAACAAGAATTCATTCAGATTTTTAAAAATATTTGCTTGGCTACACAGTAAATATGAACACACTTGTCAAAACAAGAATTCATGTTCTATCTGCTTATATTCTTTTACCCTGCATACACTTGTTAGGCACCAGAGATATGATCAGAAGTCCAACAGGTTTGGGAACTTATCTGCTATAGGTGGTGTTAAGTTTCCTGTTGAATACCACACACATCTGCCAAGAACCCCAAGCAATTAATAACACCATATAGCAAACTCAAATAAAAGGTGCTGCTTTACAGATTCTAAAGCCCAGTACTATATAGATGATTTCCTCTCACAGTAATTTGACGATCACTGTACCTGCAATCAGGCCAATCTCACAGTTTGGATCCTCATACCCACATGTCATCATGGTCCCAACAGTGTCATTCACCACTGCTACAATGTCCAAGTCAAATTCCTAAAACACAAGTCACCATCAGCAGTGGAATGCCAAAGGAAGAGTGAAGGTGAATTAAGTACATCAAAACAAACAGAAAAGAATAGCTCACATTTCTTCTCCTGATGGCCTCTCTCAGCATATCAACAACGTCTTCCCCCTCACAGTCTGTTGCCTTGAATCCTTTTGTCCATCCCACAAGTGTTCCCTGAAACAGAAGAGAAAGAAAGTCATAGGAGAGGACAGAGAGCAGAATGTACATTGCAAGCATCATTCTTGCCTCCCACTCCAATTCTTTTTTTTTCTTTATTTTTTTCAAATAACACATTTCCCTGGACAGATTACAGCAAATGTCTAGGGCAGACTGGGCACGTGTATCTTTGCTACTCAACTGCTGATCCTAGTGACTCCAAGTTTACTCAGCTATTTATCAAGGCACTGCATTCAGTGTCTTCCAAATCTCATTTGGAAAATCTCATCTCACCTCTTGTGCACAGAGCCACTGTATTACCAGTGAAGGAAAAACTGCAAAAAATGCTTTTGCTGTAAATAATTAAACACCCATCAAACATTAATGAACATCTACTGTTAATTTTTGGGTCGTTAACTGAAGGACATTTCACAACTCCAGGCAGCACTAATTTGTTTCTTTTCAGACAAAAAACCTGGCCTGACAGAAGTTGATTTCCAGGTTACATGAAGTAATTAGATTTACTCCTAACTGGCTCTGGATTGTCTGTCCTAACAAGAAAAAAGAAAAAAACTACCAGAGGGAAAATGGGAAAAAAACTGCTATTAAAAAACACCCTCAAGTTCTACCATCAGTAAAAGATCAAACACACATGACAACATATTATGGGACCCTGACACAGTTGTGTCTCACTCAGTTTGGCACCAATACTGTGGAATTTGCTTCCTAATCATTTGTCATAAATGCTATGCTGTAGGTTTGGAAGCCATATGGATTCATGTCTCCACAAAAGGCCAAGTCCTACTGGTATGCTCTCAATTGTGAGCTGAAAATTGAGACAGAGCAGACTAACTTCCAGGCTTAAAAGCTGTTGTGAAACCCACAAAGTCATGAAAACATTCAATAAAATAGCAGTCTCTCATTTCCCCAATATCCTATATATTTGATCAGAACTAAGCAGCACAACATCCCCTGCCCCTCTTTGGAAATTCATAAAACTAATCTTTTCTTACAGAAGATCTGAGAAGATAAAAGATAGCTGTCAAAAAGCTAACCCTTCCAAGCTGCACAAGAAAACTCTGTTCACTAACACTCAACAAGAAGAGGCTAACGTAGCATAGAAGTTACACAGAGCTGTGCAGTACAGTTTGGAAAAACACCCTGGGATTGTAGCTGAGCAAGCAGAAGGAGTTATTTGTTATCTCTTGCCATTGAAGAGTTACAGCAACAAAAGGAAATTCCTGGATTACTAAAAATACGCAGTTCATTTTGCTGTCATGAGGTCTTAGTCTTTATGGAACAAAAGCAAGGTATTGTCCTTATCAAATACAAGAAGGGAAAACTTATGCCTCACATATCTACATAGGATGACAACTTTGTCATGAAACACAACTAATTTGCAAAGTAAAGTAATAACATTCTCCAAACCAACAAGTCATCCTTGCCCAAAATGATCTAATTTACCAAGCAGATGCAGAGCTGCCATTTGACCTGTCCTGTGCTGTACTTCTTACCTTGTCAATGCTGGCTTGCCTGCAGGGGAAGGAGAAGGTGAAACCCAGAGGAAGCCGAGCACCTTTAATCCCCATATACTCCAGAAAGTCTGCTATGCACTGGACAATATGGTCAAAGAGCTGGAAGGAGAGAAAAAGCATATAGCTCTCACAACTAATCCTATACAACGGGCCTTGGCTCGGGATCAGTTAAACATTCATTTAAGATTACCTCTTCTCCAGTCCCTTGCATGATCTCCAAAGGAATGGCAAAGATTTTGTTATACATTTGCACTGATCTTCTTCTCCCACTTTTGATTTTGACCAGCAAAACCCTGAAATTTGTGCCACCAAGGTCAAGGGCAAGGAACTTGCCTTTCTCTGAAGGAGGAGAAAAGTATTTCATTTTGGTGCTTCTCGTAGCACGTTTGCCCATCAGAATAACATACCAAAGATAGCACACTGTTCCCTATGGCATTTATCCCATCAAGTCTGCTAGCATGGGGCTGAAGATAACAGATAACATAGCAGGAAGCACCGGTTTGACAACATAAATCCCCCTGGCATTTGCCATATCAATTGGCATATTCTCTCCTCCCAGAAAACAGACAAGCAATTTTCTGAACTGCCTCCAGGTGACCAGGAACTAACTTCACCTGTTCCATCTGGTGTCCCACAGACGTACGTGGGCAGCATCTTGACTGTGGCATTGCCTTGTGTCTCCCTCTTCAGCCCATATTCCAGCTCAGCCCTCATTTTGTCCTTAACTTCTCTGAGAGTGCCGAGGGGCAGCAGGAAGGGAGCCAGCGTGGCGTTGATTTGCTGGCGCTGGGCTGCCAGTCTGCGTGCCACCGCCGTGACCATGGCAGCCCCCCTCCCACTGCCACTCACCGACAGCAGGAACCGCACGTCACAGGTGGGCACCAGCCTCCTCACCACCTTGTGCAGACGTTTGGCGTATCTAGCAGGAACAGAGAGTTTCTTTAGGCTCTCACAGGCCTTTCGGGCATGGTTTACTTCATCTCTGTCTACAATCAGACCTCCAACCAATCTGGGAGAATAGCTGGAGAAAGTTTCTGCTTTGGGAAAGCACAGCTCAAAAGCAGGGAGGTGCAGAAGGAGAAAGAAAGAAAAGAAAAAAACCCACAGTGAACTGCAAGTGCCCTGGAAATCCAGGAGTCATTTGAGAAATCATCTGCATTTCCACAGACACCATTACTCCAGGTGTCACGTTTTTCCCACCCCACCCCAAATTCTAAAGCTCCTGGGACAGTTTGGCAATAACTAAGCCAGTTAGACCTCACCCCAGGCTATAGCAGTTCTCTGAAAAGCCACACACACATGCATAGATGGAGACTCTTGGCAGCATCAACATGTGGCCAGCAATCATGAAACCTCTAGTTACTTACTGAGGGTGGGTTTTATAAAGTCCCCCATCAATCCCAACAGTGGTTCTCATCCTCAGCAGCTTTTTGTTCTCCCTGAGCCGGGTCAGGATGGCTGCCAAGGCAGCAGCACAGAGGTTGGCTGAGCGGAAGGAAACGATGGTGCAGACGTGCTGAACAGCAACACAGTCCTCCTCAGAGGGAAACAGGTTCAGCTCTGTAAGGATCTCTTTTGTGTTGCTCAGACCTTCCTTGTACCTAACCCCAAAACAAAAGAATACATCACCAAATGCAAAGGCAGTACATACATCAATACCTTGTCTCAAAAAGGAATGAGAGGAGACCAAGACACAACCCATCAGGCAGCATCATAACTGGTTCCCATAAACCAGTAAAGTCTTTCCCACAGTATTCCCAGAAGTACCCAGGGCAGAAAGGCTGCTTCCCGGGGTTCAGTTTTTGTTGAGACTTACCAATTAGCTAATTGAGAAGAGAACAGGATAAAACAGTCGATAGGAGAGCACAAGAATGGATGGACATCTTCACTCAATACAACAAAGAAAATAATTCCTGGAGTGACAATGAGGACCAGGATTCCTCTTCAAAACACCAGACACCAAGTTTTCCATGTAGTCATTCATTAGCTGATCCAGAATCTGCACTTCATCTCCAACCCCAGCATTCCCACATCAGAGAAGCTGCAAACTGCAGCAATCATCCCACACGCTCAGGTCTCCAGAGAGGTTATTTAAACAACCTCCATCTGTGATGTTTAGTAATACATTTGCTACTATGGTACTTAGCTAAAACTTTATCTAACACCAATTCCTACTTACAGAAAGGTCAACTTTTCTTCTCGGCAAAGGCAAAATCAAGTTGAACAGCTCAAGATTGTTCCCAGCAATCACAGATTATAATTACAGATTCATTAACATTGCTGTGCTTGTGAAAAACTAACTTTGAGCGTGGCTGCTCTCAAAGAGCATCTTACAAGTTCTTACTTTTCCATTGCAGACACGTGTTTCGTTTCAATCTTGCCCTTAGTAAGCAGAGCTGTTGACACTTTGCCATTGAAGAGCAGACCTTCCTTTGTCATTTTTAGGAGAATGAGTCTTACAAGTTCCCCCAAATACAGGCTGCTGATCATCTTCTCAAACCTGCAATGGAGCATAGGAAGGATTACAGGCATTCACCAGCTCCCCTCTTCAGCCCTTCACAGCATCATACCAGAGCAACCACCTATTTTTAACAACACAGGAGCAACTGTAGCAGCAATCCCTTGGCCTGAAACAGGGAGGTGTGAAAGGTATCCACCCTTCCCAGAAGGGAAAGATCTGGATAATCTAGAACCAGAATTAAATCATCTCAAATTCACTTAAGCCAATCCCTGTTCCAAAGGGGCTCTCAGCATACACTGGAAAAGCACTCAGAGCTCAGACTGCAAGGGAATCACTATCAGGGAATCACTTACAATTGTTTGCCAGGATTGAGAGACCCCAGATCCAGCTCCCGATCAAACTCTGTGCGGAGGTCATCCAAAGCACCATCATCTCCAAAGGCACCCCACTCGGTGTTAATGCACATCCTCCCTTCATCCCCCTCCACCAGATCAATGTGCCGCATCTCCTCCATGTAGCAGGCATTGGTCCCAGTCCCTGTGGGTATGGGATAAACTACTGTTTGTTCAAGATGTGCTTTTAAGGTCCACAAGTTTGGGAATAAGTCAGTAAAATGTCTTTGGAGGAAGATACAAACACATAACCTTGCATAGGATGCTAATATAGGCCATCTTCACCTGTGAAATCATCATTTCACAGTGAGTGAAAAAAAATTGAAATTAGTCTAAGACTTAACTTATTTAAAAACACTTTTTTTCTTTTTCAAATGTACTTCAAATTCAAAACACACAAATGTGTGCCTAATAAAAGCTGTGCACGAAATGGAGAAACTGGAAAGCATAGCTGGTACTAACCACCAGACGTGAGGGGAATTCAGCTTTCTCTGGACAGACACAGTAATTTTCTATACAGTCAGCAGAAAAATTTAGTATGCTGGTCACAACTGAGTCCAGACAAAATGGGGACTGTGGTATTTAATGGCAATGTGATCAGCATAAAAACAGCTGCTTTACAGAAGGCAGCCAGGCTTGAAAATACAACCATTGTTTTTTCCATTTTCTTTCTGCTCTTTCCTGTATTTTGAAACTCCCTCCTACTGCAGATTTGTGGTAATACAACAAAAAGTAGATAAGAAACCCTCCACAGTGAACAGGAAAAATTACCAATTATGAGTCCAACTTCACAGCGCTGGTCATCATATCCACAAGTCATCATGGTTCCCACGGTGTCATTGACCAGTGCCAAGACATCAACATCTATGTCCTAATAGCATAAAGAAGAGTGATGAACACAGAAAAAAGCTTAGAAAGCCTCTATGTGATAAAGCAACAGCATGCAGACATACTGCCTGGGTTGCACTTTGAGGACCTCATTCAGGAAAACACTTTGGTTGAAAGACACATTGCTTCCTTTTACAACACTCTTCTTACAACCCTGCAAAGTTATTAATATCTCTGAATTTTCACATGTTTCACCAGCCTCTGCCTGAAGGATTTGTTTTTCCCCAATCCCACTTAATTTGCCAGAAAAGCGACACGTTATTGGTGAGAATTTTGTGATACTCTGTTTACAGGTTGTGTGAAAGGATAACATCCCAGCACCTGAGCAGATGCCACCAAATGGGACAGAAAACATACATAAATGCAGCTATGGCTGTGCAGCAATGCAACACTCAAGTAAAAAAGCAAGGTTGTGTAGTTTTTGTTTCTGAGTTATCAAAGGATTGCTGTAACGCAGTAGCCAACACCAGCAGGAGGCCACACCTTCACCCAGGAAGCCTCAGATACTTTGTTACTGCTAACTACAAGACTGATACAGAAAAAGAAGGGAACCAAAATCAAGGCTGGGTTTTTTACCATGTGAGAAAACAGAAGAATTTCTCTTTACTATGAAGTCATCAAGATAGGAAAGATGCCTTGTATTTCTTAGCTGCAATAGCTAAGCAAATTTTGGTGCAATAGCACCAAACATGAAAAACAAGTCTTTCCAAAATATTAAAACACAATGTTATTCAAAAGCTATAATACTAGTTCAAGGGCAGATTTAGCCATGCGTTACTGCTGACCTTAAAAATTATTATCAATTTCCATCCCACAGACTGGAGTGGACAGGCAAGTCCTGGTAGAATTAGGTGTGCCAGTTAGAGATCACAGTTTCCCCCTACCAACCTTCATCCCACAAACCAGGCTGTGAAACACAGCGTGTGCAACTATTGAGTGGTTTACATCTCAGTCAGTAGTTTCACACCAGATTCCCTCGGGCTGAGGCAGTGGGGCCATACTGGTGTGCTGTCACAGCCAGCCTGGTTTATCAGCGTGCAGCAGCCCTTGCTGTTCCTGGGGCAGCCTGAGTTACAGCTGCGAGGAGATTCAGATCTATCAGATGTACAGCTGTGGCAGGCACTTGTTATTGACCATCCCTGGAGGATATCTGACAACTCTCAAAAGAACCCACACACCAAGAACTGATTTCCCAGGAGGACATTCTGAGGCCACTCATCTCCTGCAGGTACAAAAACTTGCCTTATGCTTCTGGAGGGCCTTGCGCAGAAAGCTGACCACATCTGTGTCCTGAACTCCTCGGACCTTGAAGTGCTTTGTCCATGCAAGAAGAACCCCCTGAAAAGTAACAGGTCAGTGACCCAAAACCATACAAACTTTAGTATACAAATCACAAAGCCAGCCAAGACCAAGGGCTGTGGAGAAGTCCACTATGTCTCCCCACACATTAAAACTGAGTCAAGGTAAGTCAGAGCAGAACATCTTACCTGTCAGTACCAACACAACCAAACAGGTACAGTCTTAAAGTCCCAGTTCTGTAAATGCATCTCTCTCTGCTTCATTTAAAGCACATGTGGCTTTCCTGATGTTCATCACAATCTAGTAGCATTAAGCAAAAAGCATTTGCAGGACTGGGATCAAAGCACAGACCCCTAGAAATAAGAGAGGCTAGAATGAGAGAATACAAAATAATTGCAGCCAGCCCTTCATTCCCCCAAGAAAATTGAGAAGAGCCTCCTGTGTGATAAAGCTGTGTTTTGAACAGCTCAGCTACAGGTATTTCCTATTCAGAATCAACCATAAATAAAAAAAGGAGAATGATTTAAAAAATCAAGATGCTTCAAGATACAAAATCATGTCTATTTCTAACTGTTAATACAAGAGCACATGGTTCCTGTGGAATTGGGTACCGATTAAGCAATAGAATAGCTTTAGTTTAAAGATCATGCTGCCCTGAGATCACAAATTAATGGTTGAATAATAGTCAAGTCTAGTTAAATAATAAAGGGCATTCATGCTTTCTTCAGACATCTATGTAAACATGACCCCACATAAAAGCCATGAGGTAAGACCCCCATTCAACAGCTCCTCCAGCCTCTGCAAGGAGCTCAGCTTGACAATAATATTTCTTTATGCGTCTTACCTCTTCCAGTTTGGTCTGTCTGCATGGAAAAGAAAATGTAAAGCCAAGAGGCAACTTCTTATGCTTCAGGTTTTTGGTCTCCATGAAGTCCAACAGACAGTCAGCAATGTAATCAAAGAGCTGCACAAGAAAGAGAGGACAGTTGGGCTGTGTCCTGCAGGCAGGGACTCCAAAGCAGCACCACCACAGCAGTGCCCTACCTCAGCTCCATTCCCCTGTGTGACCTCCTTGGGTGTGGGGTAAAACTTGCTCTCCAGCTGGCTGCTCTGCTTCCCATCATCAAACACCTTCACCTGGTGGGCACGGAACTGGGAGCCACCCAGGTCAACAGCAAGGAAGTCACCCTTCTCTGAAACACAAGAGGGCAACCATTACCTGGGATGGCCATGAAGTGTGGCTCACCACAGCCCAGGGCCCTCCTGCACCACAGCTACAAGCTCTCCTCCCCATCATGGCAGATCCTTATCCCATGGCCCTGGGAGCATCAGAAAGACTGAGAGTTGGAAACCCTAAGCAAGGATAACAGGTCTCTCCTGTTAGCTTGCTATTTAACAAATAATTTAATTTTTATTTGGCAGTTTGGGTTTGTCCATCCTGCTCCTTCCACAGCAGCGTATTTTCAAGCTGCAAAAGGGTGAGTTTTTCAGTGAGAAAGGCCCAAAGCAGCTGTAAAGCCAACCAGAGCACACAGGGCTGCAAAATTCATCTGAAATGTGGGAGAATCAGAGTGTGAGATGATTACCTGCAGACAGTAAAGGATGCAGGATTTGCAGGCATATGTTAAGATTCAGCTCTAGTGCAGAAGTCAGCTTCCAAGTGGGGCAAAACTAATTTGTTACCTAAAGTCAGCCAACACAATCCTTCTCAAATGCCTTTTGTTGTTTCTGCAAAAGTACCATTTTGTTTCGCAGGTTTGCTCAAACACATAGCTCTCCAGCAGAAGATCTCAGATGGAAGGACAGTTTGGCCTTACTGCTACAATAAAACAATTGTTTATCCCACACACAGGAAAAGGCCCATCCCAAAAGGAAAACACGATGGTATGTGCCTAGCCTTGCATGATCTTTGTTCCACAGTCCAAACACCTGATTAAATTTTATCAAATCTGATCCTGAAAGGGAAGGAAGCAGGAAATTCTACCTGTAATACCATGGTCAGCTATTAAAGGTGAGGAGGCAGATTAGGTTACTCGGTAAACTGTAACATTAGTGAGACCATCACTAATGAGCAATGAAAAACTCCATATGAGTCATTTCAGACAGCAACACTGAGAGCACCAAAAAAATCTTAAAGTTGAATGCTATTGCAAATGGGGAATAACCATCCAAGTCTGAGGTGTTTAAACCTGCTGGAAGTTTTGTCTGGAAGCAAAATAACCAACAAGGATTTTTCAAGAGACCAAAAATAGAAAAAATCGAAGTGATACTTAAAATAGGCAATGTGCCAATAAGATATAGCCCAGCTTGATGCTGCAGCATGTGCCTGATACATCAGAAAGGTCATGGGGAACACTGTCCAACCCGGGCCTTGAGGAACATGAACTCTCACAGCAGTGATGACACTTTTTTGATGCAATTTTCCAGTCTCCTGGCCTCAGGGGCTCCCCGCTGTTTCAGGACAGCATCAGTGACATGTGAGACCTCAGGCCCAATGGCAGTTACTGAGACTGCAAGGGTTAGGAAGGTACTTCTTTCTCTTTGATGAAGGTAGCAGTAGAGTGCTCATTTCCATCTAGGCAGCATGTGTATAATTTCTCTCAGACATGCTTCACTTCAAGTAACTTGCTTTCAAATACCTCCTTTATGCAATTAAAGCTGTTATTCCTCATTTAACTGCAGGGAAATTACCTTCAGAAGGAATAAAGGTATGTGGAAATAAGGTACGAAGCTAACATTTCCGTTTTCTGCAGAGCTAGTTTACATCAAGTCGTGACCTAAGCCAGATGCAGAGCCCTGCACAAATTTACTTGGTTAAACCTGGAAAAAAAAGTAATTTTCTGTCAGCCTGTGCTGCCAGGAGACAGCTGAGGAGTTATTTTGAATGTGCATACTTTCCAAACACGATGAGCTTTTAGTTCATATCTCATGTCATATCCTCACAGAGGATGCTATTGCACTTTCTCCTTCTCTGTTTAAGTCTCATCTGAAGAAGCAGAGCAGACAGTTTCCTGGTAGACCCCACTCAGAAACAGATTTTCCCAATGCAGAAGGCAAGGAAAGGCAGAAGGGATCACTTTTTGGGGAATTAGAAAAGGCAGTGCAGAGTTTGTGGATCACAGCTCTGAGGATGCCATGTTGCTGTCACTTGGCAATTTGAAGGGGTTCCACTGCAGCATCCTGCCCTCCCTGTAGCTCCAAGAAGGCCAGGCCACACATCCCACACCTGCAGTTCACTGCACTGCAGGCTCTGAGCTGTAGAGGTTGCCCTTGTCATGTCCAGCCACAGCTCCTACAGGAAGGCCTGCACTAGGAACAGATCGAAGAAGCTGTTCCTGAGCAGTCTCTAGGTACTTTCCTCAAAAAAGCAGCACTAGCTCAAAATTCACCCAGTGCAAGAAAAAAAATTTCTTGCCAGCATTCCCCCAGGCTGCTGTCTCCCCAATAGACACCTGCTTTCTCAATGAGACAGGCAGAACCCCGAAGCCACTGGCTAGCCTGTGTCTCTGCTCTGTTATCCTGGAGTCCTGGCAGCAGGGGAACTCACCTGAGCCATCAGGCAGTGAGCGCACGAACGACGGCAGCATTTTCACTGTTGCCGTGGGGTTGGTGTCTCTGCCCAGGCTCTTCACCATTTCAGCCTGGAATCGTGCCATCACATCCAGCAAGACATCATCAGAGAGGCGCAGGGGGTACAGGTACCTGTCAACCTGGAAAGATGGGAGCTGTTACTCAGAGGCATGCAGGCTCCTCAGTGCTCAGCACCTGCTGATGGCTCATTTTTTACCTCAGCACCTAAGTTTTCACGACTGTCAGTGCAAGCTGCAGGTCACCATCAGGACATTCACTCTTCTAAAAACTTTGGTTAGAATATGTTCAATGCAGCCTTGGTGAATTACTGCCCAAAAGGTGGCCATCTTTTCTGATGCTCAGTAACTCAACAATCTACATAAGCCCGTGAGATTTGCTTGAGACTCTAACACGCTGTTTTCACACCATCCTCTCCTCCTATAGATGAACTAGAACTGCAAAGTATCCCAATCTGGTGACAATTTGACCTCTCTGAGGCAGGTCCAGAAAATGCCATCAGTACCCAAGCGTGTCAGCCACAACCTGAAAACATCTATTCAGCTACTGCTTCACTCCACAGACAATTAACTTTGTTGGCATGCCAGGCTGGAACTCACTCAAAAGCCTTTTTCTCACTCTAGCTCTGCTCTCCATTCTCTTGTGATTCTAGGATTACATCTAAAACACATTTTTGGGTGCAATCAATTCCCTTTGTTGAAGGTCTGTAACTCACAGAACATATCAAAATAGAACCCAGTTGAATATAAAAGAATTCCAAAGTCTCCATGAAGCAGCTCTTTCAATAAACTGGCAGAGAAGCTAATCAGTGTTTATGTCCAGCTTCACCAGGCAAAGTGATAGGTTTTTTCCTTGAGGACCGCATATTGCTGGGACTGACATGTACCTGCAGGGCTATAAGAAGTGTGCCCTAGAAACTACATAGATGGGTACAACAAAAGATTAACACAGCAAAAGAAGAAACTATCAACACCCGAGGCTTTTGCACTGGGGAGGCAGACTCTGGTGCTCTATGAACATGATGCAAGCATAATAATTGTGTGCTTCAAATAGTAGGATGTTACCTGAAGGGTAATTCATGTTCACATCTCACTCCCCACCACAAGAGACTCAGGGCCAGAGGAATTAGGCAGGGGAGAGAGGTGGAACAGTTTCCAATGCTTTGCTAGTACAGACACTCAGTTCCTGCACTATGGGCTATGTTGTTATGCTGCTTTATCTATTTAGAGCTTACCATCAGTCCCATTTACATAAGGAGGTCTGGAGGGCTGGAAGGACACAAATCAAGTTCCATCAGCAATAACACAGGATTTAAAAAGTTGCATTGTTTAAACAGAGGGTTGCACTGTGTAGATAAATTTGCCTCTGCTGCAATTTGGACTGATCACCTATTTTAATGAGGCACAAACTAGTTATCCAGTCACAGTCCCATTTTAAACTGATGGTCAGCAGCGACCCACCTGAAAGAGCCAGGACCCTGAAACTCACTCCAGCACTTACTTAATACACACAGGAGGGTACACACAGAGGAGAAAATGTTGAACGACAAGATGCAATTGTCCAAGAGCAGCAGCTGCCTTTGGATACAGCTGTGCCTTGAAAAGGCCATTATTGAGATTTGTCTTTGTAGCCCTCGTTTGCACAAGCACATGATTTCCTTCAAGAGTTTTTTGAGGCACCACCGCTGTGTAGGATCCATCACCTCAGCGCATGCACCCATACTGCTTTTTTGGAGAAAATATAATGACTGGAGACTTACACCACGCATGCACTCTAACACAGACCCAAATAGCCTTGTGACAGAAATTCCTCTGGAAAAAAAAACTCAAGAGTAATAAAAATTACCATGTCTGCTCTCCACAAACTTTGTATTCCCCACTCTGTTTACCTACAACCACAGGAGCAGATAGTCCTCTCCAAGGAACTAGATAAGGTAGAGCCCAGGAAAGCCTGCTGGCTCTCCAGCCTGATTTACAACCAGTGCAAGGTCCTGCTCACATACCATTTACTTGTAAACACAGGAATGGCCAGGCTGTGCTAAACCAAACTCGCTGTCTCCCTCCCATGGCACAAGAACAGTGCCTTGCCTTATTTATAGAAATAGCACTGTTTTCACAGCAAGCAGGCTCTTGGTTTTGCCACCACAGAGTAAATAAGCTTGGGAGGGAGAGCTGGGAGGGCATTCGTTCTTTGTAATTAGGGAGAAATCAATTCTGTTCTGTACAGCCTACCCTATGCTCCTTAAAAGAGATGTCTGAGGAGCATGTGGTTTCTTGCCTTCCGGAAGGGCTAGCTTTCATCAAGCAGAAAGACTTCAATTTTTTTAACGGCTTTGCTAGAATTCCTTTGCTCCCTCATTTCCACTGTGCCCATATCAGGGAAATCCTCCCTCGACTACAAGCTGGAGGGTTATCTGAAACGCTCGCTCCACCCAAGCACTGCTCTAAAAGGTCTCTCTCTTTCTTAGTAAAAATAAATAGTACTGTCTAGATGAGAGATCAGCTCCTCACACAGGGGAGGGGCATTCAGGCTTTTTTAGGATCCATTGAACCCTATGAGCCGTGACTGAGTCAGAGAAATCTAATTTTTGTGATACCAGTACCCCTCTTGGAATGCCTTTCTCCAAAAGAGCATTAGTGGAAGAAGTTCACCTTAGAACAAGCTGCTCCATGTTTTAGGCACAAAAAGGAGGACCCAGAGCTGCTCACTTTGCTGATAACCTCAGTGGTGCAGGCAGATCTGTGCATTGACACCTTGGATCTCCTGCTATGCATCCACAGAGCCCCACCTCCCACTGGCTGGAAAACCAGAGCACAAAGCCTGGCAGCAATGGCCACCAGAAAATGGAGACACCAGGAGTACAGAGGGACCCACAGGGGACATGTCCAGAAACCAGAGGACCTCTGACCCATGAAGCTCACAGGTTTCACACAGTCTGACAATGCACATAAATCCAAAACCCCATTCCAGCATGGCTATGAAGGTAGATTAGGGAAGAGGAACGTTAGGCAGCCCACTCCCAGTACTGATGGTATCAGATCTGAGCCATTTCCACTGCAATTAAAGGTCACATCTATAAACGGCAGAGTGATTAGCCAGTTTTGGACAACCAGAGAAGAGGCACAGACACAACTCCAGTGGAAATATATCCCAAATCTCAATAGACTTGGACCAAAAATTACATGGATTTTCCCCATCCCTGCTATGTGAGTGATTCTTGATTCCTACTCAGATTGAGAAATCCCATTGTTCACACTACACTTGCAAAGGGACTCAGCAAGAGCGATCCTTTTTGTCCTCTGGGCTCTACCATACCATGCCAGATAAAGCTAAAGCATTTTCCCTTCCTGAAGAGAACTTGCTCCATTACTAGAGAGCACTTATAACTGTGCAGGGAAAAGCACTAACCAGACATATTTTCACACTTGTCAGATGGTTTAGGGTCTAAATGCTTCTTACCCCATTTGGCTGAACTTTAGTGGCTAATGCCATTATACGGTCTGCATTAAGTACTGCAGACCCTTCTGTATCTGGGTAACACAGTTTTCAAAATAGCAATCAGCTACTGCTGCATCTTACCTTTTTTATTTGATCCTCTTTTAGCTTTGTGAAATGGAAAGCTAGCAAGTGGACAGCAAACATTTTCTTGAAGCGGATGGATAAGTCTGTGGTGACAAAGCTGCTGTAACTCCAAAGCAACAGGTCTTTATTCACGAAGCCGGAGCTAGAGAAACTTCAACTGAGGCATTTTCGCCAGTGTGGAATAGTGGAGTTCCTGGGAAATTGAGTCCAGAAATAAATCCATCCAGTGTGATCGGTCCAGTGATTTAACTTCTGCCTCTTTGGATCACACCCCCCACACATCAGCCCAAAGTCCCTCCCTCCCCAGCTACACACTTCATTGTGCCAGAGCAGGCACCTGGAGAGTTGCCAAGCTGAAGGGGAGAAAAATCGATTTTGTTACTGCCCCACTTGGGAATTGTTACCACTTCTCAATGCAGTTGCTACGCAGCCGGCCCTGCTTCATTCCGATGGCTGACAGGCTCCCACCGCTGCTGCGTGCAGCAGGGTGCTGCCGGCAATCTGGAAAGTTAGAGACGGTTTTAGGAGGTTTCTTTCCTCTGCTCAGCGCTCCCACTTGTGAGACAAGCTCTTCCGCATGAATTAACTCCACTCTAATTCTGCACAGTGCACCCTTAGCTGCAGCTTTGTACCAATTAAGCTTCTGCTGTGTAAGAGCAGAGACACACAGACAGACCCCTGCCCCCAGCTCGAATACCTCTTGCGCAATTCCCAGCAGAGAGGTTTTGGACTGATTCTTCTCCCTTCACCCGAAGTTTCATACCAGTGAAGATCCTTAGTACTGCAAAACCTAGGGAGGGGACAGATTTACCTGGCAGGCAGCAGTGTGGGTATTAGACTGCCTCACTGGAAAGATGGCTTTAACTGGCAGCACAGAATGCCTACAGCAAGAGTAGCTTCCTTGCACTATCAGAATTTGGCACAGCCATTGCCATTACTCTCGAATTCATTCTGAATACACAAGTGTTTCCAGGACTTTGTATCAAGTGAAATGGACTATGGAAAGATCATCCAAAGAAAACTCCGGTGAAATGCTGACACAAAGAGAAAAAAAAAAAAAAAAAAAAAGAGAGCATTCTCATGGGGTAATTAGAGGCTCACTCTCAAACCACACCTACATGCAGTGTTTACCACCCTTACTGCTCAGCCAAACTGAGCACAGTTACTGCAGACAATTGTCATCCTAAATTTTGCAGAACAAGAGAACAAGGTAACAATTAAAAATTATTTTGATAGATTTGAAAAATAGCAGCGGAAAAAGAGGAAAGGGGGAGGGCAGTGCCAAGTAATGTGAAGAAACACAAGAACTACTGAGCAGTAGAAAACTAACTAGAGATCCAGAGAAGGGCAGAGGTAGCCAGTCAGTAGAAAGGATGTCTGGCTAAATCAATTCATAGCCTAGAGCAGAACCAAATATCTCATGCTATTGTAAAAAGAAAAAAGTACAACTGATCACCATGGGCTGTATATGCATACAGCAGTGTAATCCACAGACACACAAACCAACACTCAACTCCATACTCAGCATCAGCTCTGGAAAGAGGACTCTGCCCATTCCTGTCAGCTATGGCATGTCCAGAAAGCATGGGTCAGGAGTTAGCTCTGCTGAACATAAGGAGCAGTCACAGGTCACATTTTTTCAGCTTCTGATCACTAGGAAAGACTGAAAGACCTGAGGGAGGGGAACTCCCTCTGTGGAGACAAATTATAAAGAACCTCTGCTATGAAAGGTGGTCTTTTTTTTCTCCTGTCTTGCATCAGGGATGAGTTCTGGACACTGGGAGATCCTGCCAGCTCTATTTATTTTCCATTATTCTAGAACAACAGTAAAGCAGACAGAGTGGCTGAGCAGTCCATAAATAGGGCTTGTTCTAAAATTAGGCCTTTGATCTTTGAAAGAAAGAGAGAAGAAGAAAATAAGCCACACTACCAGCCAGAAAGCACGGTTCACTTCTCCCCTATTCATCTTTTAATAACTGCTGGCTCGTTAAGTCAGACACTGACTCCCAAAGGGACTGTGTCTCTCCTCATTGTTTACCCATGCCATCCGAGTCACAACCCCTCTGGCCAGCAAAATTGAAAACATCACCTTTCAAGCTCCATCTCACTTTGATCCAGAGCTCATTGTGTCTCTAATACAGTAGATTTATTTCTCATTCTCTCTTTTCTTTCTTTCTCTGACAGACGCCACTGGAAAAGGGTCTCAAAGATCTAAATGTTCCTAAACAGGCAGCAGGCTCTGTGAAATACCTGACATGTCAGAATCACTGCGTAACTCATTCACTCATTCCTGGTGCATCCCAGCTTCCATCAGGCCGTTGTGCAAGAGACAAGACATTATCTCATTTCCACACAGACAGCAGTACAATGCCACAAGGGCCCAACACTCCAATAAAGCCTTTTTGTACATATCCTGGCCAGGACAGGGGAACCAATCCAGGCCCAAGTGAACAGATCAAGTCCTATTGCATGCAGCTTGGGGGCTTGAGGCAATGTTGCTTTTCCCCTTTGTTAGAGCTGCACCCAATGAAAATCATTCACAAACCTTCCCTCCCTGCTTTGCAAGATCCAAAACGACTTCTCTACTTCCTTCACCTGCAGTTCTGCCTCCAAACCCCATCTCAAGGCACAATGAAGAATCTTGAAGAGTTTGGTGCTCATCTGCCTTCCATAGTGTGGCAGTCAAAGGCCTGCAGAGAAAAGGAGCTCACAGCTACAATGGTAAAACTCACAAAAATGTCTTGAGCACATCAGTTAAATGCACCTCCGTTACCTCCAGAAAGAGATACCATTTTAATAAACACTTTGGTGCAAGATATCTGCTCTTGGTGAGGTGTCAAAGGCAGTGGCAATGCTAGCTGCTGAATTCAGGTTAATAAGAAGAAAGTGGATAAGGCTACCAGTGAGTTATCAGGTGAAATTCCTTTGTTATAGTTTATGATTCCAACATCAACCCTTAGAACACATTCCCCTTCCCTGCAGTAATAGCAGGTTCATTCCCCACTGTATTCCCAAAAGTTCATCAAAGCTCAGAACAGAAAGAGGTCCCCACATACTTCCTGCACATGGCCCTCCTAGGGCAACATCAGGATGCAAGTAAGGCAGAACACCTGAGGGGACTCACTGCAAAAATCAGAAAAGATGGAAATAGCATAGACAGAATAGAGCATGCTGGCTTAAGAGACAGGAGGATTTTACCAAACAGTGCTGTTACAATCAGCACTTTAGATTTGAAGGACAGCAAATAAACAATGAATAAAATTCCAAACATCTCTAATTTGAATGCCTTAATCTGGAAATCTGAACACCTGAAATAGTTTTGCAGATATGATTCCCCGATGAAGCGAACAGTGCTGTTGTTGCCTGAAAATAAATCTTCAGCACAACCCCACAAAGCAGATAAAAAATGAGTAGTAGGGGTAACTCTGCACACCAGTCCAGATTGTACCACATGGGACCAATTTAGCAGCCATTCTAATGGGAATCAGTGACAGCCACACGATTAGATCCGAAGAAAAGAAAACTTTCATAAAGTCAGCCTGGAAAAGCCTGAATAAACTTCAGAGCTTCTGAAACAGTCACTATGGAGTCACTATGGAAACAAGCAATGAGTTAAGCAAAGTGCTAATCTCAGCAAAATACCAAAAAAAAGAATGCTTATAGTCATTTAGCTTCTTTATTGCAAAGCTTGGTGCTGAAACACACGGCTGGCTTACAAGTCCCAGGCACTCTTTCCTTGCTCAAAAGTATATGCTAGTACTCAGATGACTGCATGAGTAAAGGGAAAATTTACCCTAACAGACTACAAGCAAAGCATTATAGCAGTGTGGGGTCTCTGCAACCCAACCTCATACACACTGGGCAGAGAAAGGAGAGTTGTCCATGGTGGACAACCAAGGTGGTTTCCAGCAGTGGTTTGCACATCCAGCATGGAGTGTGCAGTCCCAGGGGTAAGCAAGACAACACATGCAAGCAGTCAAAATCTGCCTGCAGGCTGGAGCAACTAGCACCTCCCTTCCACTGAGTGCCAAGGAACAAGGAGGCAATTGATACCACTCCATCACACAATCCACAGCACACAAGCTGTGTGAAAAGCAGCAGATGGAACACATTTGTAAGGGTTAATGCAAGCTCAAACTCTGGGCGAATTGTGCTACTGTTCAGCAGGACTCACGGAAAGCAAAGCTGAATTACTCATCTGCAAAGCAGAAAATCCACAACACTCACACCGCAATTGCCACACACATAGAGCTACTTCCTTTTTCTTGGGGGAGGAAAAAAAGATCTGGCTTTGTAGGGAAAGAGCCTAAAACTTTCTCTTCTGGGCAGTCCTGCACAGAAACCAGCAGAAGATCATGTGGACTAGAAACATTTATGCACTGCTTGCTTTTTAGTAAACAATAAGGAAAGAGTACATGAACTATACTGAAAACAACTGTTAAAAACATTTTTCAAACTGCTGCAGATTTGTTACTGAACAGCAGCATAAGGGCTTGATACCAGGAGAAAATAAAGGGGATTCAGAGCAAACTTTCACCCTGCAGAGATACGCAGTTGATCGTTTCAGAAAGGCAGGTATTTGATAGTGAAACTCAAGCTGGATTTTAAAGGTTTCCCAACATTAATACAGGCAATATCTGTGCACTTGTACACTGGATATATGGTCAGTGTAGCATAATCCTACTTAGGCAGCCCAGAAATGTGTCCAAGTAGTAAAATCTGTTTCTGTAAATACGCAGCAGTTTCAGCATCTGAATCTTTCCACTCTCCAGTATCCACACTGGGAGCCCAAACCACACCTTAAAGCTGCTCACATGAAAAACAAATCACACAGCATCAATAATTACCCCTCAGATTACAGAACTAAAATTGACTCAAGAAGTCTTGTGGCCAGAATTCCATCATTCCCCAGTGTATTACCACAAATGCTTTTCACCTTCTTCCACATTTTCACACAACACAAACGCTAGAGGCACACGACTCCTATCACCATTCTGAGCCAATTTTGTTCCAGGCTGTTCATTGCTTGTTTGTGGTCTGAACTCTGCCCTTTGGGAAGGGGTGGAATGAGTAGCTAATTCATTACTAGTGAAGTATCTAATGTTTATTGATGATGAGAGGATATCCTGCAAGAAGACACCATGTTCAAATTTTCACATAGCAATAGATCATACACTTATGCTGAACACTATGATTAAAAGTGTACAGCTGAGTGGTAAAAGCAAACTAATGGCCTCTGAACTTTTAAGAGTCCATTTCTCTGGGTGCTTCACATTATTGGTCACAGAAGAAAAAACATCAAGGAGCTGCAGCAGTGTAGACATGAGATGCCAAAGAGATTATTAAAATAGTATTTTATTTTATGAATAAAAACTAAACACAATTACGACATGGTTCTATTTTCTCTTTTTCCCCACTTCCTTTGAACTATGCTGATCACCTCTTTTTGAACCAAAGCCAGATCTACCATTCCTGTGCTGATCCTGCCACTCACTCTCCAGCTGTTTCAGCATTTCCTGTGTCAGAAGCCCTTCCTGCAGCAATCTGTTGGCAAGGGATCCACGTCCATAGCTTTTCAGATCCTCCCGCCGGCTACCAGGCCGAGGTCGCAAATTCTTCGCTCTTCTTAGTCCTGCAGCCTCCACTGACACGGACAGCGCCTCTGGGGAGGCTGCACCTTGACGATCTGAAACCACCCTGCCATCCTTCTTAGTCCTTGACAGAGGGAAGTCTTCGGACACAACTTCAGCTGTACCAGGTGCAGCTGCAGACTGGGTTGCTCGGATCAGCTTTGTGATGTTGCACACACCAATTTGTATAATGTCATCTAGTTTTTTCTGAATATCTCTTACAAGGGCAGCGTCAGGGAACATATCCATGAAGCGGTAACTGAAGAAAGGAAAACAAACACATAATGAAACCTTCTCACTAGGACAAAAATGGGATATATACTAAGTAAAAAAAAATTTATTACATGTTGCATGGGAAGGTCACTGTATTTTAATTTGCATTTCAGCTGCTCTAGTCCAGGATCACCTTGTTCCTACCTTTCTCTTTCTGTCAGTCACAAAGTGCTCTCCGCAGAGCTCGCTCCCTCAACATTGCTACACTTGCATTTTTCAAGATCCTCTAAAGGAGCCCATCCTTCACCACACCCATATGGGCTGCAAGACACTGTGGTTCTAGGACTGTAAGCTATAAATATTAGGAAAAAGAATTAAAACCCAGTTCTCAAGCACAAAGACAATACCTTAACCACAGATAGAGGTCAAAAACATCATGCACAGCTTCAAGGTGTACAAGTTCTTTGATGTTTCTTGGAGCAGCTAAGGGCCACTTGGTGTGCCGGCACAGCCAGTCAAATGTCAGAGGCTCATTTCTACTGAACTGTCGTGCAAACTGAAAAAAAAAAAGCAGCATATTGAGTGAAGTGCTCAGTTAGTCAAAAAAGAAGAAATCCTCAAAGAGTTAAATTCCCCAGAGTCTGTGTACACAGAATACACCAGAAAATACCTGCTTTGTTTTACACAATCCAAATGCCACACATTCTTTTACTTAATTACTCAACACAGGAGCCATCTCTCCTTTCCAGTGCCTCATTAACACAATTTGTCCACGGGCCATGCACACAAAAGCACAGAGCTATCCAGAAAAGCGTAACACTGAAGGCATTTGATTTCATCTAGCAAAGCAGATGGACTTTGTGTCCTTTTTAATCCTCCTCCTCCTCCTGTTTGGTTAATTATCTTGTTTCAGAGATGCCAGGGTTTAGAGTATTAAATGCATTTCCTGGTTCACAAAACACACTACTCACAACCCAAAGAGATTAATCTGCAGTAGAAATTCACCCTTCTAATACCCAGCCACCTACAGTCTCTAACTAAGAGAAAAACAAGTCAAATAAGATTTAAATCTAGAATTTTCAAGAGTACTAATGACTTGGAATAACTGCTTCCTAACTGGCTGATACCAGAAGTGGGTTTTTTAGACTAAGGAATGGGGCTTAAATTCACTCAACATTCACAATAGCCTACACCTCCCTCTAACATCACATTTATGCCCCTCTGCACTTCCATTACTTGGAATCCAATGTTCAGCACTTTCTTAATCAGGCACTTTTTCCAGCTCTCTAATTAATAACTCATTTTTAAAGAAGATTTTTAGCCATTTTTGAAAAGCAAGGTTCTAATGTTTGTGACATGAGGACACCACATCAGTTTCATTTTTACACCATCTCATTAAAAAAGTTTAATGCAGTATCTAAAAAGGGAACAATGGCAATACTATCTAACAAAGTAACAGTCCCAAACATTATTATTAATCCTGAAAGACATAAAATTTGCTGACTACAAATTCCTCAAAATAATTACTCTGGAGGCTCAGCAAAAAACAATTCCTCCAGGCATGAAAAGTAACATAATTTTGAGAGCAACGTACAGTTCTGTGTTTTCTGAGGTTTTAATTCTATGTAACTGTGTTAAAACATCAGCAATCACCCTTAATAGCACATTCTTTTGTTGATAAGCCAATACCTTAAAGGTGCAGTAACTTGGTTTTCAATGACTGCTTTTAGGAACACTGTAGTGCAAAGCTTAACAGTACACAAGTGACTAGGGAACACAACTCTCATCTCTCCCAGTTCAGAGCTCACATACAAGGAAAAAGCAACAGGATTTTCTGAGGCAAACAGCACAAAGTCTATCCAAACTTTAATTTACAGCATGAGAACCAGTTCTCAAAAGTTAAAAGCCTTGGTCAATAAAAACAGTGAAGAATTCAATCAGGAAAAAATACATGTCCAGCTATTTTATATATATTTTATATTACCTGTGAACACTTAAAGAAGGCCCTCAAATGATCTGGTGGCAAAACCCCCAACAAATAGAGCAGCTAGATACAGTCCCAGTGCACCAAGACCCGCTTGGTCCAATGTAAACACCACGCTTTTTTTGAGGGAAAAAAATAGCTGACCTTCAACAAAGTAGTACAAACAAAAGGCTCTTTTCTGTTCAAGGGTGCAGTGCAGAAGACATATCGTGATCGCAGATTTAGTGGAATGTGCTGAATCATATCTGCTAGAAATTTAAAGTCATCAATATTGCAGACGAAGTACATCCCATCGACTTGTGAAAGGCTCACAAAAATATCCTGTAAAAATAAAACCAAATGAAAGAATGTTATTAGAGGACAGGGTTGTTAAACTTCATATTACCAGACTAAAAATTTATTTAGAGTTTAAAAGGCTAGTTATACTAAAAGAACAATTAAAAATCATCAAATTTGGTCACAGTAATAAAATAGGGGCAGGGGAGTTCCCCCTGCTCTTTTAGCAGAACTTGCATTAATTCTCCAACACAGGATCAGAGGAGAAGACATAACACACTACACTTTATTCAAACATTTTCAGTTCGTCTCCCAGATAACAAAGTACTGGAAGGGTACATTTCAGTTACAAAGAACACCATCACAGGAACCAGTTACCACTATGTTTAGAAGTTTCTCCAGGTTCGTCACTTAGCACGACCCAAAAAGCTAACTTTACAGCATAAAATTCAGTAATTGAGGTATTTTTAGCTCAATGTCAGGATCAGATCTATTTTAGAAAGAAAAAAACCACAACCTAAATACAGTACTCCAAGAGAGAAGTTCAAAGAAAACATGAGACATCCTCAAGATTTGGAGAAACAGAAGATGCAGTGCACCCTGCAGAGGAAATTTTATGGGCCCCCAAAATTATTTCTCTAGTGTAACTCTTAGAAAGATTTTTGAAAACATCTTTAAAGAAACACTCAGTTTTTTAATTAAAATATGTGACTGAATATTTAAGAGAGCAAAAACAACACAATGTTTTTTACCTTAATACTTCTATGCTAGCCCAGAAATTGCTAATTTTAAAATTTTAAAGATGTGCTATTACTGTACCAGCCTAAGTCCTCCAGGAGGTTTCAAGGTATAATCTTTTACCTCAAGAAATGTGCACTTTGTTACACAACAGCACATTAGCAGAGAACAATAGTGCACGTTTAAATCCATGAAGGCTGCCAAGAATTTCTCAGTTTCTTAAAAGCTGGGATACTATTCTTTAAATACAGTATTGGAAACTTAATTTCTACTTTAAAATGTTTAGGCACATCCAAAAGAACTAGTATCAATCTAAAGAGGAGAATCAAATTGGTCCCCCAAAATCTATTTTCCAAAAGTTACAGACTGTTTTACCACAAAATATATGGAAACAGGAAAAAAAAATCAGATAGCTCTCAGATACATGGAAATCTGACACGACCAGCCTAGTTTCCCAAATATTTTCAAATAATTTATCTAAATTTCTATCTCTAATACCTTCAACCTCAGACCAAAATGTCTACATCTAAAATTCAGAAAAGTTGCTACACAGTGCTAAACGTGTAAAAATATGTTTCAGTAGCTTTCATGTTTATTGCATTACAGAAAAATTCAGCATTCTAGACCTATCTGCAGTCACTGCTGTGGTAGAGAGAAGAATCCAACTGATTAAAAGGTAAGACTGTCTGTCAGGTTCCCAAAGTGCATGTTTGAACAGATATTGCTTAATTTTAAAGGCAGAACCTAATATTGTGATTATTCTTACAATTAAGTTGGATAGAGTGGCATCAGGAAGATGGTAAGCAAACATTTCTATCTGCTCAGGAGTAGGATGTAGGCCAGCTGCCTAAATGGAAAATAAAAAAAACTTTCATTAATTCTCAGTATTATTTTGAAGTTAATGCACCAGAAGCAACATATTGAAAGACAAAATATAAGAAACGAAAGCCCCCTGCAGATTTGAGTTTATTTAGCACACTTAACTGAAACTTAAGAACTTCTGTGCTTGAGCTTTTAATTCTCAAAAGAGCAGCTTCAATATAAAAGCAACACTGCAAGTCTCCAAATTGGACATGTATCCAAAGTCCCTCTCGCACAACACAACCCATTTTTATTAGTAAATTGTAAACAGACACAAGGGAAAATAATTTTGGATCAGAACATCATAAATCAGCCCCAGAATACATCTGTATAAACTGAATACTGAGGCTCTCACCTTCACAGGGGGCACAGCCTCACTCAGAATTTCCTTCAGCTGCATGAGGTCATCGCGATGCATTGTGGTGACTTCTCCCTGTTTGAAGGAGGAGCCGAAACGCCCAGCTCTGCCTGCTATTTGGAGAGCCTGGGAGGTGGTAATGGAGTCTATTTCCTTCTCTCCCTTCTCATTGACAGTTGGCTTTACTATAGAGTTAAAAATTATTCTTCGTATACACCTGAAATATTTGAACAAAGAGGAATCCTTTTTTGAAAATTATTTCCAACATAAAGAACTAAACATTTAGCTTTTTCATAAGCTTTTTTCTGCTCTATAAATTAACGTATCACATATTCTAATTACGGACACAGCATATTCCAAAGGGCAGGTTCCTGGCTAGTTGTAGGAGAATCATTATCCCTGCACACATCAATCATGTCCTTATAGGGTCCCAATCCATTCATCACCTGCCTCAGCAGTTTGTAGCAATATGACTTTATCTCCTTCACCAATTAAATACACCTGAAACTGGGCTGAACTTGCTCTATATTTCAGAAATGCAAGAGATTGATTATTATTACAACTCAGCACATTTGACTTCAGTTGATCCAGTAGGCACTGCCATCCACTGCCAACCAACACACTGAAGGCCAAAAGAGCCATTTAATTCTTGGAATCAGTTTTAAAATTAAAGCTTAGTTCCTCCTAACCAAATCTGTTGCTACTTCAAAACTGAAATGTATGTACTGTGCCATCTAGACACAGCAGATATTTAGCTGAGTTAATCAGATTGGGGAGATAAAAAGCAAGGAAATTAATGTGGCCATCACACATGAAGAAAAATAAAAGTACCACAAGCTGCTGCAAGTACTTACAAATTGAGTCCCATTCCAATTGCATCTGTAGCAACTAAAATTTTGCATGGATCATCAGGATCGTTGAATTTCTTGGCCTGTTCAAGCTTTGTTCCTAAAACAGAATAACAGAACACTTCACATAGCAAACTTCATACAAACTAAAGACAATGCATTACTAAGTCCAATGTCATTATAATAGGCTGAGGAAAAAAATAAATAAATAGGTATTTGGCTGCTGTTGGGAGGAGGGGGCAGGAGGGATTTAAATAATTCCCAGAGCTGTGGATAGACCTCATTTAATTATACGTATCTGAAGTACATAATAAAGGTCTAATCCCAAGATTAGAACACCAGTGAAGGAAAGCTAATTACTTTCTCTAGCTATACAGAAGCACAACTAGGAAATTTGCACTGCTTTATTTTAAAATAAAGAAAGCAGTACAAGGATTTTTTTCCTACGAAATGCAGGAAGAAGCAGAGCAACAAAAGCGAGAGTGCTTTACCTGGTGGCAGACTGCCGTATATGACAGCACATTCTAATCCTCTGGCTTCAATCTGTCGGCTGACAGAGTAAATGTCATTCTTACTGAAACAGACAATGCAGTCCCCAGGACGGAGGTTATCCAAGGACTCTAAGGCATTATCCAGCACCGTCAGAGGAGTCAGTCTCTTGTAGTTTCGGACCTAGAATCAAAGTTGTCAAAGATACTATTTTTTTTTAACTCAAACTCCATCATATGGCAAATAACTATCAACAGATCCTGTCAAGTCAGTAAACCTGAGAGCACTGTGCCCTCCTGGAAGATCCAAACTGCAGCATCCCCTGAACGGAACTCATCAAACCACTTATTTCAGAAAAACCATACCACTATTTAAAAAGAGAAAGAACTTTGTAACATCTTTGCTTTACAGAAATTGAGAAACATTTTAACAAGGGCTCTGTCAAGACAACTTGAATCAGAGATACCCTAAAGACCCTACATTTTTTCCCCTGTTTTACAGCAGAACCTGATGTTCTGTTCATAGTTCCTTAGAATTACTTACTTCAACTTCCTCCCCTGTAGTGTACATGAGTTCTGTCACCAAGTCAACAGCAGCAGGTTCTCCACAAACATGGATTTCTTCTGCACAGAGGCCTGAACAGTGAAATAAAAAGCAAAATATTACTTGTTTATATACAACAACAGTAGCTTCAACTGACTCTTAAGGTGTCCAAAAATTATATTTTGCTTGCTAAACACAATGAGGACTGTATTTCACCTCCTTCAGCGACCTAAACAAGCAGGTGATATTTGACAGTTCATTAGTGTGATAATCAGAGCAGCCAGTACCTCACTGCACCCTCTTAGCCAAAACAAGAGGTATGCTCAGCCACTGAACATATGGAGCAAGCTTTGACTACGTTCCACTTTCTGCTGTTTTACTAACACCCAGACCATAGTGGAACTGGGGAGTTTTGTTTTCTGCATGAATTCACTTCTAATACAGTCAGAACAGAAAAAGGAAAAATAGGAAGTAAAGGAAGTGTGACAAATCTGCTGAACTAAGAATCAAAAGCAATGAAAGGCAGGGCTGAGGAGGAATCACATTCCAAACTTCTGTTCCAAATATGAGGAAAAATGTTTCAAAAACTCCTCTTGAAAAATTCTAAAATTACCAAAATAAGGATTCTTCGAAGAATAAAACAGACTGATGGAGCTCTATAAATAAGCCATTTGAAATTAACACAAAAATATTTAAAGTTGCTATTATTTAAGAGTATCTCTACCTAAGGCAGTCTCTTGAAAACTGGTGTTTCAATTAAACTGAAAAGCATACTTCTTGGAAATAATCAATGTAAAAGGACAGCACAATGTAATAATGATTCCTCACTATCCAATGAAGGAAAAATAACAGAGACATCTAAATAAAACTGTAAAAATACATTTGTTAAGTAAAACATGACAACTGACTTGCTGTCATGCAGACAAATCCTTTGAGGCAGAGTATCTCTCTAACTTGCTGCGAGAAGACATGAAGAAAAAATACTTTTGTTTTGCATCACATACTGTAACCACTTATGAATGTATTAACTGCTAAGCTTGAATTTCACGTGCCATTAAGCTAATTCATTGCCAACAGCAACATGCTTACCTAGAAGAGCTCTTGTCCAAGCCCAGCCTCTGGCAGGATCTCTGATCATCTGAATTTCATCAATCACAGCAACTTCATCTCAAAACAAAAAAGGAAAAAATATGATGCACCAAGGAGGAGCAATTAGAACAGCAGTACCAGACATGAAGGAACTCACAGTTTTCTGAAAAAAACGTTTCTCAAACCAAGCTAATCCTCTATTACCAAAAATCTATTCTGAGATGATCCAGGTTTCTTGAACTGCTCTAGCATAGTTCAGAAATTGCTCAAATAAGAGTGAAAAGTAAGAGCTCAGCTACTTTTGAGTCCAAGCAGCATACCATGTCCAACACACATAACAAAAGCACCGACAGGACTGGAACAATTACATGTACTTACAAGGTGTATTAGTGCTGCACATTTCAATGGTACAAGCAATATGAGGAGCTTGTCTGGCATCTTCATTGGCATACACACGCTCTTCTCCCGTCACCAGGTCACACGGCACATTCTAAAGGCATTCAGAGACCTAAGGTTAAGTTTCTTTAACATAAAAGAATCCCCTTTCAAAAGAGGACAAAATCAGTTTCTTACAGTAGTTTCTAGGACAGTATAACAGAAGCTATCCAGGAAATAACTACTCAGCCTTGAGAGACCTGTGCCCTGTATTTAAGTCCTATCAGACTGGAGGTAAAATGAAGAGGTAGTATTTGTAATCAGATGCCTTCCCCTGCTCGAGGTTACATCTTCCCCATAGCATTTCAGAACTGTCACATCTGCCATTAAAGAACTGTCAGAAGACTAGAAGGGGCTTATAAAGCAAAGCCCAGCAGTAAAGGAGCCCTGCAAGCTCCAGTCTGCTCCAGCTCCTTTGGCACATGCCCTGCTGCCTTATACTCATACAGCAAGGGCTCATGAGGACCAGCTGTGAGAGACAGCTGAGGCCACCATCCTGCCAGCCCTACACTCCTGGTGCTGATAGCTGCTCCACCCAGACCTACCTGAAGAACCATGCTGGAAGCCCTGTTTAAGCCTCAAGGGCCTAAATATGATCCAGGAGCCATCAAATGAAAAGTTCTCACACACACTAAACATGTGGGAGAAAAGTTTAATAACTAGCAAGGAACATCACTGCATGGTACCCACAGTCACCATGTGAATACATACGTGATACATTACAGGTATCTCCTTGGACAAGCCAATCTTTCTTATGTGCTGCTTGGATAGATAATAGAAATTACAAATTCTACATCAAAAAAAGAGAAATCACAACATCACTACACCACATACACACTGTGCTATATTAACATGTGATAATGTGGTTGTAAAGCTTCAGAACTGGTCTGGTTGTGTGCAGCTGGAATCCCAGTCATGAGTGAGGAGCCTCCAAAAATATGGCGGAAGCAATAAAAAAACCCAGTGAACATTTCCTCTAAGGACCAGACATAGGACACTGCTCTTCAACTCAACCCAACTAAATCTGCAGAGTTTTTCGAAGATGGTGAAGTGAAATACATTTAAACATTGAAGCAGAAGGTTGAGGGGAGTTAAGCGGAGTCATTTTTTGTGTACAAGCTTTAATAAAGGTCAGGGGTTAAACTAGGCATGATCCCTATGCTGAAAAATCTAGTAGTATAACCTGGGGAGCAGCAAATGACAGAAGAGAGGCAGGTCACAGGGATGACTGCACAGCATGCGCTTTGGGGACAGCACTGCTCCATTTGGAAAAAATTATGCTCCATTCTGCTCCTAAAGCAGAAATGCACAGCTGGTTTCACATGTGCTGACAGCACTGCAAAACAAAGGCATCTGTTCAAGCACAGGGCTCCAGGGACCACCCAGGGCCAATATAGGACTTTACAGACATGCCTTCATGAGGCTGTTCCACTACTAACTAATAAGCATGTAAGTAAATAATATGACATACTGACAGCATCATTACTCTTTTGGAAGATCTCATGAGCCAGAAGTTTTAGCGGACCACAGTATATTCCAGATTTGGCTGACAAAAATCTCTGGATAGCATGGTACGTTTTTCCACTGTTTGTAGGACCAGCATGGAATATTATCTTTCTCTGAATAGCCCTGGCATCTGGATACCTAAAGCACAGACAAAAAAAGCACATCTGTTGAACATTTATCTGGATACTGATTCAGGAAACACTGGAAATTAGCTTAAGCGCTTATTTGTTAATAGATTTGAATGTGTGTTGAAAGCAGAAATACCAAACTCTTAGAGACTGTATAAAGAGGTCACTATGTCTTACACATTGATCTTCTAAATCATACAATGCTTTCAAAGATTCAGAGTGAAATTCAGACATTGTGTTCAAAATAATTCTCACTACTCCTCTAATTCTCTCTCCTTAATTTTAATGTTTTGATGTGCTAGTTCCCAAACACATGGCCAGAAAACAGCTTCCTGGAAAAACCACACCAACTCAGTGACTTCCATAGCTGATGTAATCTTATTTTCTTTTTAATTCATTGTGATGAATCTCACAAAGAGTGTAAGAGTTCCTGACACAAATTATTGTAAAAACAGAGAAATGAAACTGCAAATGTAGCATAATTACACTGAAGTGCACAGACTATCAAATTCTATGCCAGTAAGAAAACAGCGCAAACACTGACCAGTTGGGCGGCAGCCTCAAATCGCTGATCTTGCGCAGATCATCCATGCAGTCCAGCATTGGAAAGATCTGCTTTGCATGCCTCAGGAAAAACGGAAACAGATCATCCACGTGACCTGGAAGAGAAACCCTTTTCAGAAAGTTTGCATGCCTGTCTGAAGTTTATCTTCATAATAAACTTCGAAAAAAGATTTTACTTCTGCCCCACACTCACATAATTCTTTCAACTACTAGTTCTCTGCTAAGTTCAATAATTATCTCAGTGTCAGAAAGGGAGACTAACACAAGAACATGGAGTCATTTAGCAATGTAATACAAACACAGTAATATGAAAAAATAAATCTCATTTCCAGTATATTCACTCTGGTCAGCCTAGAATGAACATGCCTAGAAAACTTCTAAATAAAATGAGAAACTGGAAAAGCTGGATGAGAAATAGCTTTTTTGTCCTAAGAAGATTTTAGCCTTTTCTTCCCAAATTCATGTGCTTCCTTGGAATAAAATAAAATAATATACAATAATATAAAATAAAATAAAAGCTTTTAAAGTATTTTTATGAATAAACAGAGAAAAACAGACTTGTAGGTTCTCTAAGCTACCAAGGCATAGGATGCTGGCTCCAAATTCTAAATTTCCAATCACAAGGAGAAAAAAGAATAATACTAAAATCAACTCAGAAGAGAAATCCAGGTTGATTCTTATGAATGTTTGCAGAGTAGACACGTGGCCTTAAAGGTCACCTTTCAGGTCACACTCCTACTGTCCAGTTCTCACACAATTTCAAAGAACTACCTTGATCTAAAAAACTGTTATCTTGAAACATGCATACACACAATAAAAAGCAGTGGCTTGAGGTTTGTTGGGGTTTTATTGTTTTGTTTTTGTTTTGGGGGGGATATTCTATTTTGGTGGGGGAGTATTATTATTCAGTGAATCAAAAGTATTGTGAAAATAAAAAAAACCCTTGTAATATACTTAATGATCATCTTTGGACAAGCAAAATTCACAAAAATGTCAATATTTCTTTTATGTCAGTTTTAAGGCATGATACTCATATCTAACTAAATAAGGAGTGGAAATCAGAAAATTCTGTGGATATTTATGCACAAGTAATATAAGGAGACGATTTCCTAAGATAACCAACATTTACATATTTACATTTTAAGATAAAATAGCAGCCTCTGTAACCTTTACATCCCGATAAATAAATCACACACGTTGTGCAGCTCAAACTCTGGAGAAGGCTGGTTCTGCTGGTCCCAGCTAAGTGCTGCTAATTACAACACAGGATGCACTAAGCAAGTAAACACACCTCTGTGGGTGCCACAGGGAAACAGAGCACTGTCACAAAGCTGTCCCTAAAGCCACCTGGCCGGGAGAAAGCTCTCCAAGTGCCCCCTAGTGACTACTCGATTTTGAAGAGAGGAATAAATAGCACAGCACTGTTTTCACTTCAGCCCTGAACAGATGCTGTAAAACAACAGGCTGCTTCCGGCTAACACTTTCACATCTTTCATTTTTACTTCAGAAGATTTAAGAACAGAACATTTCCTAGGACGGACACAGATGTTTCTGGTTGGGAAGCAGTGATTTTTCATCTGTCTGACAGCATAGTAGGGGGCTCACATGTATGTAGGTAAGCATACAGGTCAAAAACAAGAAAAAAATGCACATTTTATTTTACAAGCACTCCAGATACTTGCCTGCACCACAGCATATATCATTGAGAATAATATGCAAATCAGCACTCACAGAACTGGATTCCATGATATACTTCCTAAAGCTTATAAATGCTTGGTGAAAGAGACGAGCTGTAAAAGAAAAACCAAAAAAAGGGCACAAAATTAATGTGGCCAGGATAAAAAACTATTTGTAAACACCCAATAAAATACTGATGCAGACCATTAAAAATCTACACCTTAATATAAGCTATTAAAAGTAAATATAAAGGTTATTTGAACCAAGTCACAGAGACAACATAAACAAGCAGTGTTGTGATAAAAGATCACATCTAGTACCAAATCTCAATTAAAACAGATTTCACATTAAAATAATACAAACATAGAACATTTTCTTACCATCTAATCCATTTTCTGCTCCTAGTCTTTGAATTTCTTTTCTTTTGTAGAACTTGTTTAAGTTTTTTAGTACTTCACCTGTAGAAAAAGAGTAACTTTTTTTTAGCTTCCTCAAAATTAAATCACATTCTCCTTGCCCAAAGATCCTGGTTTATACTCCCCTTACTCTGGAGAGAGGGAATCGTTCCATGATGAACAGACTCAAATTCACACTCCCTAAATTAAATAGAATCAATGATTGAGATTGGGACTATTGTGGAGAAGGACAACCATCAATTACAGCAGATTAAGAGCCTCCATAAAGATGGTGCCAGCTATCTCCCCCTGGTACATGAAGACGGGATACTGCAGCAAACATGTCATGAAACAAACTAATTAATATTTTGGGGTGGGTTTTTGTTTGCTTTTTATCAGCACCTGTCAGGAGATTTTAATATGAAAAGCAAATCTGCTTGAACTACTTGGTAAAAGCTTTTAATAAACATCCTGAGGTATGTTCTTCCCTCCACCCTGCTTCCAAGACAGACTCTTCAGAAAGATAAGGTAAACCAGACACAGTATTCTTCCTTTTCTCAGGTTAAGTAAAAAGAGGGAGAAAAAAAATCTTAACAGAGTTGTTTCATATATATCACAAATTAGTCAGCTTTATTTGCATAAAATACATTATAAAATTATTCATGAACTCTTTCCCTCCTCTAAAGGTCAAGTTCACTGGTGCAACAAAATTATACTTTCTCAGGTACACTCTGATTTTAGTTCAATAAATGATTTTAGTTAAACCACAGTGCAAAAACATGAGTCCCCTCTCCATCTACAGCAGATCAGAAATACACAAAAATCTAGCAATTATCATGAACAACTATTCATAAGCTTACATTATTCCTAAAGCTCGAGTCTATGAACCCTGCATTATAAAATGTTACCAGGGATAAATGCAGCACACCTCCGGTGCCAGCACAAGTCACTGGACACAACACCGTCAAGCTCTGCTCTCTGCAACTAACTCCGTAACTGTTTCACATTACATGGAAAGCTTCCCATGAGATCAACCTTAAATTATGGAAAGATTGCCTCTCTAAAAAACTATAACAGATATAGTCCACTTGGCTCAATGAAAATCACCAGGTGACAAGGATATGGCAAATTTAAATGCAAATCCCATACCCCACGCACAGCTACAGTAGACTATTAATGGATTAACATACATTCTGAAACATTCCCAAAGGAAAGCAAGGAAAGCTGTCAGCAGGATTACATTTCCTACACAAGCATCCACCCTGATCAGAAAATGTTTAAGGGCCCCAAAATCAAAGACAGATTGGAAAAAAAGTGCAGTACAAGAAAGTACAAGGCTAAATTATCTTCAGAGATTCCCTAAGAAATGTTAGCAATTAACACATCACAGGCCACACAGCTAAATTAACAGCCCATTGGCCTTACTACAAGATTAAAGGTCAATGCCAAAACATGTTACTATCCAAGGCAACATGACATTGGGACCATGCAGCACTACATCCAAGGTCATGATCCTCCTTAAGCACAAACTCTTATTTTAACAATAAGTAAATAAAAAGAAAATAAAGCTGGCATTGCTGCCCATGTGAGTTTAATCCAACTGCACACACACATAGCAATCGGGGTACACACTCAGGACATCTGTGTCCTGTCTCAAGCACCACCCTTTTTATCATTCACTCCGGTTTTGAGATTTCCCTTGGTTTCCCATTTTCTCATTCTAGAATTATGTTTTAGCTCTTACTCCTCAATTACTTGGACTTCTCAGTAGTATTTTTAAGGTTCTATGTAAAAAGACAGCAGTAAAGTCCAGAAATTATGGAGCTAGTCTCCAATGTATCAGATTCATTTAGATGTGTCAACCCCCTCTGCAGGAAGACTTTTGAGTCATTTCCCTGTATCTCTGATGACAACAATCTAGTGCACTCAGGGTATCTGCTACCACTGGGGCAGCTGAAGTGCTTTATTTCAGAATTCCTCCCCAACTATTAGCCTCCCACTGTCCAGTTGAAGCAACCTTCAGCATCTAACTAACCCCCTTGTTGAGCCATGTTCTGTTTCTGCCAGGTGAATTGCTGCCAATACCAGGTCTCTCTTGATTTGCACTTCCCACAAGTAAGCACAGCCCCACTGTCTGACAATTGAGGCCACAGAACTGACATTCAGTGACAACTGACACAGAAGATGCATACACCAAAATTGAAAACATTCATCAGCACTCAGAGGAGTATACTTCCTACCAACTCGTGGAAAACAGAAGCAGTGAATTAACTCCAGTAAGTTTTTACAAAACTGGCTTTACTAAAGTAAGTTTCTAGAAATACTTTTGTCTTCCTAACAGTGTTTAACTAGCATGAAACTATAATCACTCTCATTTGAGCAAGTAACAAGTTAACAAGATGATTCACACAGGAATTACGCTCACTAACGAAGTTTCTTCACAAGCCATAACAAGTCCCTAAATACACATATTCCTTTATTAATCTAGTTCAGTATTTGGCAGCAGAATCTGAAAAGGATATTCATTTAAAATATAAAAAAAAATAGTGGAATAATACTGTGTGTGGTCAGAACCTGAAGTGGGGAAGCAGCGAAAGACTATTTATTTCACTTTAAAAATCAGCTATTAGCTAAGAAAGATTTTGTTCAGTTTTCTCTCTAATATTGTTTGGTTTCGAAATACCAATACTTTTAAAATGCATTACTGTTTTTTCAAAATATTGCCGACAGCAACAAAGAGAGCACTAGAGGCCAACAAGCGAGAGGAGCACACAGGTCACCTGGTTGCTATTCCTTGCCAGTCTCACATGGAGGAACTTTAGGCTGCTCGAAGTAGTTAATTTTTACCAGTAGGAGCATACATAATTTTAGCCAATCTGTTCTGTCTCAATAACTTAGCAGAGACCAAACACAATCCCAAAGAATTTTAGTTATACCTTTGAAGAAATCTAACATACTCTAATAAATGAGACAATGTGTAAAGTACAAATAAGAAGCCATCATTCCTATTTATTTGCACTATTCATTTAAAAGACAAGTCTGACAACAGAGATTTTTGCATTACAGCTGTTCAGGATTCTTTTTCCTAACTAGGTCTTTTTTAGCTTTCAAGGCCAAGTATTCTTTTCCCCACAGCTCTGAACAATTAAGATTATTTTCCCATGCTTTCTATACTGTGGAGTTAATAAAAATAATATGCCATCAGAACACTTGGTTAGAAGAAGATACAAAGAAAAAGGTTTTCATTTACACCCTTAATGCTTCTGGATCAGCAAACATCAAAAGAATCAAGAACTTGTCTCTTATTTACAAAATCTTTGAAGACCATGCAGTCACAGAATCACAGAACTGCTTGGGTTGGGAGGGACCTTAAAGACCATCTTGTTCAAACCCCCCTCCAGGGGCAGGAACATCCTCCACTATCCCAGGTTGCTCCAAGCCCAGTCTAACCTGGCCTTGGACACTTCCACGGATGGACAGCCACAGCTTCTCTGGGCACCCTGTGCCAGGGCCTCACCACCCCCACAGGGAAGAATTTTTTCCTAATATCCAATCTAAACCTACCCTCTATCAGTTTGAAGCTACTCCCCCTTGTCCTATCACTTTGCCCACTTTTGATCTAGGCACAGCCACGCACAATTTCTTCTGCCTATCACACCAATATTAGAGAAAGCTATGTCTTTGAAGTTCAGCTACAGTTATGGTTCTGGAATGCAAAAGATTCCGGTTTAGCTGTGGGACCCGCCCCAAGCCAAACACCTTTACCCTGTCCGCACCAAAACAGAAAATGAAGGAAGCAGGCCGGTAGAGTTTTTCCTCCATACAGGGCACGCCTACTGGGCCTGGTCAAGCACAGAATATTCTGAGCTGGAAGAGACCCCCACGGATCATCAAAGTCCAGCTCCTGGCCCTGCACAGGAGAGCCACATGAATCCCATCACGTGCCTAGTAAAACCCCACCATCAGTGGTGTTATCTCACGCAACAGCCTTTATCCCACTTCACCTTCACGGGTACGAGCAGCTACACCTGTCAGACAAACCCCAGCGAAAGACCCCCTGCTCTTAATAGGAGGTCTTCCTGACTCCAGGAAAGGACCCAAGAGCAGCAGGGGCCAGTTCCCTCAGCAATAAAGAGGGTCGCAAAATTACAGAATCAATTAGATTGGAAAAACCCTCTAAGATCACCTAGTTCAACCTATCACCAAATACCATCTTGTACAACAGAGCAAGGTGTGCCATATTTATGCTTTTCTTAAACATCTCCTGATACTGACTCCATCAACTCCCTGGGCAAACCATTCCAGTGTTTAATCACTCTTCCTGTAAGAAATTCCTCTTAATGTCCAACCTAAACCTCCCCTGGGGAGAGGGGAGCCTGAGAACATTTTCTCTTGTACCGTTGCTGTTCCCTGGAAGCACAGCCAGAGACCCCCACGTGGCTGCACGCTCCTGTCAACGAGTCCTAGAGAGCGAGAAGCCTCCTCTCCTCCAGGCCAAGCCCCCCCAGACCCCTCAGCCGCTCCTCATTAGATCTGCGCTCCAGTCCCTTTCCCAGCTCCGCTGTCTGTCTCGGGACTCGCTCGAGCTCCTCCCTGTCCTTCCTGAACGGAGCGGCCCAGAGCCGGACATTCACATCGCTCGAGGTGCGGCCTCACCAGCCCGCTCCGGTGCCGGCGGGCAGAGGCGGGCGCGGCCTCACGGTCGGTGCGCGAGGGACCCCCCCTCGTCCCCTCACGGTCCCGCCGCACTCACCCTTGTCGAGGGGCCGCGTCAGCTCGGCGCCCACATCTTCCGAGGCCGCGCCGCCAAGGCCAGGCTTCAGAGGCACGGGCACGAAGAGCGAGGTGTCGAGGGCACGGGAGGCGCCGCCGTCGCCGTTGGAGGACGACGATGAGGACGATGATGGGAACGATGATGGGAACGATGATGGGAACGACGATGGGAACGAGGATGGGGAGGCGGCGGGGCGCGCGCGGGGGGTTCCGCCGCCATGCCGGAGCGCGAGCCCCGCGCGCGCCGGGAGCCGCCGCAGCAGCGGCCACGCGCAGCGACTCATCCGTGGGCAAGGGCGGCGGCGCGCGACCAGCGCGTCATCACCGCGCGCCCGGCCCGCCCCGCCCACCCGCGCGTGCGCAACTCGAGCCGCCGCTCTGCCGGGAGCCCTCAGGGAAAGCAGCGCCCATCAAACACAGACAAGCCGAGTTTAGTGAGAATACAGCTGGTTTAATAATTCAAATAGCAGCTCAGGATGTTTTCGCCCCGCTCGTTACACATGGTTGCACAATCTGAGGCTGGTTAAGTACAATCAAGTTTTTCAAAATCATCGTTCCCAGGTTTACGACATGCAAGTGACCATGAAAATATTTGGCTTTTTTTTTTTTTTTAATTCTTTTAAGTTTCTGAACAGGCACTTACATGAGGGAGTTGGATTTGCTCTCAGCCAAAGATATCCACGTTAGGAGTATCCTAGCATAAAGTACACAGAGTCTTTGCATTATCAAAGTGCCGCAGTATTAAAACAGTTCTTACAGAAATGTAATTTGATTATTTACTTACTCATAAAGTAAGGTTACCAATGACACTTGCACCGGAGCTGAGAAACCTTGGCTTAAAGGCCAAGTGAACTCCCGAGTACAAGTTGCCTTCCTCACAGCAGGCTCCAATCTGTGCCCAAGCCACAGGTCTGACAACAGACTCCACACTGGTAAACAGAGGAACGCTGGCTAACTCCTTTAAGCTACTTCTTCAAACAATAAATGCCTACGAGATGATGATAAAGACAAACAGTCTGCTGTGCCAGACAAGCTTCTAAGTTTTAAGGCCTGCCTGACTTGAAATACCTTTCCAGAAGACTACAAGAAGCTTGTTTGCCCCCTAACAGACCCAGTATGATGTCCTTCGACGATGTTTTGCCTCTCCTGTCAGGACAGTTGCAGAGACTGACTGTGAAGACAGTGGAATCATGAAGCCAGGAGCAAACGGTCTCACATATTTGCAAAATAATCAATGTTACTGGCATTTACTTCATCCATAAGGTAAGTATGTTCAAACACTTTACCCGCTCATCACCTGAAGGTGAACTCGTAACATCTCCACAGTTACTAATTACAGGGTAACGAGCCTCCCAGATGTCACAAGCGACTCATGAAAGACATAGAGAAGTTTGACAGAGAACTGGAGGAGGGAGGGCAAAGATGTTTTCCCAACTTTTTTTGTTATTGACAGGTTCAAAGCCTTTTAGAACCATTGGTGAGGTGTCTGAAGGCTCCACAGTTACCACAGCCAGTGCATGTACGTGCAGCTTCAGTTAAACTCTGTCTAATGTGGTAATTAGGAGATTTAGGACAAATGCACCATAAACCTTGATTTTTAGTGTGATTTAGTCAATTGTGTCTTAATGCAGTTTCAAAACAAAACAAAGCAAATAAGCAACATTGGAAACAAACATGCAATAAACAACATGAGAGAAGGGAAATGCTTTAGCCTACACTGTAGAGGTGAGCAGCAAAAATCAAATATACCAGCCTACCATGCATGGAAACAACTAGAATTAAGTTTATGCATACCCAAGTGCATATAACATTATCAAATAAAAGTAAATGTGCAGTATAAAATAGTAGCTTAAGAAAGTTCCAGTGTTTGAGAAAGCACTTTATTTTAAATGTATATACATACTTGAATGTTTAACTGAAGAACGCTTTAGTAGTATGGTAAACGCAGCACTGCAAGATGAAGGAAGACAGTTGTAATGGGAATTCTGGCCTTCTCTTCCCACAGGCTGCCACCATCTTTAACCTGCTGAAGCATTGCAAAGTTTTTCACCTTAGACCAGTTCACATCTCAGGTTGCTCAGCAGATGCTTGTGACTCTGGAGATTCAAAACGTTGGTGGAAGTTTGTCCGTTGTTTCCTCAGCTTCTCTGGAGCTTTTCTCCATAAAATTATTTCCTATTTGGGGAAGAAAACACTCTTAAAACCAACATTTACCAGTAAGGCAACAGATCAAGTATCTTAAGTTCCTGCTAAGCTACAACTTCTGGGAGAATAAAAAAGATAACTAAACACAGCAGCCCACAAAAAAATGCATCCCCACTGCTTACCAGTGCAGTTCACATGAAAGTAACACAAAGACAATGCTATTAAGTTTACGTATTTAGTTACTGCCTGAACACTTGCAATGTTGAATAGTCACCTCTTCCTCAACTATCCTACCCTCCACTCTCATAGTGTTAGAGGGTTCAAGAAATTTTTATTTCTCTTTTTCTGAAAGTCCAAAGCCTATCATAGCCACTGAATGCTGCAGCTACCTCTTGTTTTCCATGTTTAATTATATTGTCTACTTGATAATAAGAAGATTCTGATCTAAGCCACACAGTTTCTTCCAGTGACCTTTTTGACTACTCCTTTCTCTAGCATCACCTCATCTTTTCTAACATTTTCAGTCAAATGTCTTAGTTTTTATTAAGACTTCGCAGTTTTGAACCTGGGCTAATGCTGGAGGGGAGATTCCTCTGTTAAGAAAGCAAGCAAACGCACCAGTATCTTATTTTACCCACATAGTGTTTTGTCTGGGTATTCCCAGCACAAGGGCCAGCAGAAATGCTTGCCACACATGAAGCACGGGTGGCTTCTAACCTGCTGAAAGCTCCAAGCAGCATGTACAAGAGCCCAGATAATTCTGCAACAAGACTGCTATAGACCATACCTGCTGTTTGAAGTATCGTCTGTCTTCTTCATCCACAAGCACCAGGTTTAAGAAGTACCTCACTGAAAATTTTTTGTTCACATCCCTCATTGTTGGAGTTGGGTCGTAGCCTGCTAGGAACAGTCTTATAGGAATTGATTCACCTTTAAAAGAAAAAAAAAAAAGCTTGAATTAGTTCCTTAAAAGTGGAATAATTAATACAGTTTCAGAAGACATGAAAAATAAGAGCACTTTCCTAAGGACTGCCTGTGCCTGTTCCTTGGTTAAAGAAAAAAAGAAACATGCACACACAAGACAAAAATAAAGCACCAAAAAATCAGAAACATAACATTGAGCACAGAGGCAAGTAAGAAATGGAAAGTGGGAACCCTTTCTCAGTAAAAGGAAAGCAGGAAGGAACAGTATCTTGAACTCTCTAGAATGAGCCTACACCATAAAAGTCAGGTTTGATAAAAGGATCAGTCACAGAATTTCCAATGGTAAATAAGGATAAAAGTTACTAGGATCCTGACTGAATTGCCTTAAGTCCATAAAAACGTCAGCTCTGAACAGAAAATCCACCATCAATTCAGCAACCTAAGGAGAAGTGTGGTTTCTCCAGGAAAAGAAAGTTGTGTAAGTCATCTTTTCTTCACCAGATCTTTTAAACAGTGTTTTATCACTGAATGCTCACTCTTTAAAACAATCAGTTATTTACCTTTAACTGGTGCACCATCCATTATTTCGTACTTTGCAATGGTTTCGGTCTCTGTTGTGGTACTGGGTCCTGGTGAAACAAGTTCTCACTGTGAGAACACACACTTCAGTTTAAACATTTACAAAGCCTTATCACAACCATCTCCACTCTGCTGCATTTAAATTAACACAGCACTGCATTTTTGGTCTTGCATATAGGTTAGACATAGCTGAAACAAGCAAAACCCTTTCCCAGGCAGAGCACCTCTTATTCTCTCCCTGTCATGCTCACACAGAAGGCGCAGTGGCCAGAGCTTCAAAGGAGCACTGGATATGCAAACTTTGAATAAGGAACAAGCATGAAGGGCTGGAATCGTGAAACTGCTCTGTTTGGGGAGCAGTGCTAGCAACTGATAGTGCTAGGCCATACTCACACTAGAAACCTGAAGGGTTATCAGCCATCTCAAGAGCCAGAAATGAAGTAGAGCTTTCTGCCCTTTCTCTATTGGAAGCTTTCTCACTCTCCATACAAGAAGCTTTGGAGAACTACTGCCACTGGGAAATGAAGTCATGAGCCACAGCCTCTTACTGCCTTCCTCATTCTAGAGTGTACAATCCTGACCTGCAATAATCAAGCTGTTTCTGCTTCAAAGCCACTTGGTATTTCCATTGTATCAGTTTGCAGAATGAGTGAAGATGACACATTTCTAGATCATAACTGATTCATGCTAATATTTACTAGCTCCCTTTACCAGTTAATTTCTGTAGAGACAAGGAGGTATCCAGGATGCATTTAACATATTTTCCCTTGCTCATTATCTATTAAGGCTGATTAAGTTACTCCATATTTATGCCCAAGTTCCATTTATGAGGGTTCCCATTAATGAGTCACAGGAGTCACTACCCCAGAACAATTAAAGACAGACAATGTTGACTCTAAGTATTATTGCCAAAGCACAAAATGCAAATGGTAGTTGAACACCAGTGAGAAAGAAGTTCATGAAGCACTAGTTCAGCCAGAGCTGCAACTACTGACTTCACTTTCCCAGTCTGCATAAGGCTCAACAGGCACACAACTTGTCATTTCCTCTGGACTTTGTTTCTCTTACCAATTCCAGTAATCTCCTTTTTGATCAGCTGCAACTCCATGTGCTGAATTTTTATTCTCACTAAGAGGAAATAAATTTTTCCAACAATCACATCCTTTAAGTGATACCTTTAAAAGAACAAAACAGGGTTTTTTTGTTAAAAAATAAACACAACTTTCACACCTTCCTGAATACAAGTCACACAGACAGTTATCCTGTCTGCCCAGTAATTGTTTGGGGCTTACTTCCCCACTGAACTAAGCACCTCAGCCAGACTAGAGCAACTACAGTACTTCCATCATTGCAGTATCAGTAAAGGAAGTTCTATTAGTCATACTGAAAAGGTGTAAATGCAAAAATTAAGCCTTCAATTTTTGCTAGTGACCTTCCAACTGAAGGCAGAGCAGCCAATTATTTAACAAAAAGGCCATTATGTAATTAGTACTTTACACCTGAAGTCTCCAGAAGCCAAAGTTGGTCATCAAATATTACATACTGTACCCTTTTAAACCAAGTTATTTACTTGAATGCATTGTGATCTGACACTTACTTTGACTTATTGTATTCAAACTCTATATGGAGACAGTCTTCA